GTCATTGGTGAGTCTCCCCTTTGCCATCCTCTGTAGCATACAGATTTCAATTTTGGATGATTTTTCTCCTCTTTCTGTCCTTATCTGGCCTGGGGTCTGAACCCTTCTAAGGCATGGAAACTTCACACACACCCCTCCCCCGGGTTACTCATCAACCATGTAACCCTGCTCAATTTTAGCAGGCTTTTGGGAGGACCACCCCTCTGAGTGCTTCCTGTCCCCCTCGCTGTTCTTCTGAGCAGTCTCTCTCATCCCTCAACAGGACTCTGGGATGTGTGGGTCCTGCAGGCTCTCGAGCGCTGGGGTCTTAGGGCAGGGGGCCTCCAGCTGGGGCACCGGGGCCATGGAAGGCGGGAGCAGCTGCACTGTACCGGGGGGGTCACTTGTCCATTGGGGCAACTCTGTGTTCTACGTGGAGTCCAGTCAGGGCTCATCAAGTAATCCCACTGTGGAATTTAGGGAGATGGGGGGTAGACGCAAGGTATGGGGGGCAAGGAGGGAGGGAGAGTTTCCTATGGGAAGGTGACCCAGGGTGCTGGGTCCCTGCTCCTCCCCTAGGACATCAGGACACCCAGGAGAGGGCAGGTGTCAGCACATGTTGCCCCCAAGGGTCGATCCTCCACATGCCACCTCTGTGGGACAGACGCCTGAGCAGGTGCCCAGGAGAGGAGACTTCCTGTAGGGCCAGGTGACAGCAAGAGGCCCTACCTGGCAGATACATGTCCCAGTTAGACACAGTCCCCAGGCTAACATCCTAGGATAGGGGGACAGCCTGCGAACAGCCCCGGCCCAGCCTCAGGAGGGAGCACGGCCTGATCTGGAACCCTCCTGCCACTGCCCTCCCTTGGATCCAGTCCAAGGGTCTTAATTGGAAGGTGGGTGCGGGATGCAATGGTGCCATAGTGGGGGCTGACGGCAAGAGACCTACCCGCACAAGGTAGGAGAGCTTGAGACCAGGACATACCCAACACCTGGGTGAACGCTAGGCACAGGGGCTGGGTGCAGATAGAGGGGAGAGAGATGCCCCAAGACAGACTGACACAGACGTGAGGTCCCAGGGCCCATGCCCGCCAGCACCAGGGAGACAGTCAAGGAATGGTGGCCTATGCGGCCCCACAAACCTGCAGAGCGCCTGAGGGGGCCAGCTCCCTAGGGTCTGCCATGAGAGTCTCCCAGCAAAGGTATGTCACCCTGCTCATGGCTGACCTGAACTCAGGACAGCAGGGGCCACCCGGGGTCCCACTGTGGACCACGGAAGGCCAGGCCCCATATCAGCAGTGAGGTCAGGACCTCCCACCACGGCCAGCAGCCCTCTGACCTCCTGCCGCTCCCCCGCCCCGCAGGTCACCCCAAGGCCGCGCCCTCGGTCACCCTCTTCCCGCCCTCCTCCGAGGAGCTCAGCGCCAACAAGGCCACAGTGGTGTGTCTCATCAGTGACTTCTACCCCGGCGCCGTGACGGTGGCCTGGAAGGCAGACGGCGCCCCCGTCACCCAGGGCGTGGAGACCACCAAGCCCTCCAAACAGAGGAACAACAAGTACGTGGCCAGCAGCTACCTGAGGCTCTCCCCCAACGCGTGGAAGTCTCACAGCAGCGTCAGCTGCCAGGTCACGCACGAAGGGAGCACCGTGGAGAGGACGCTGGCCCCCAGGGAGTGCTCTTAGGCCGCGAGCCCCCGCCCCTGGGCGCCTGGACACACAGGCCTCCGGGGAGGGTCTCCCTCCCCCCACGTACCCCCCAACCCACCCCGGCCCTCTCCCTGCTCCTCATCAACTCGCAATAAAGGGTCCTCCCTGCCCATCAGGAATCATGCTCTCTGCTCATTGTTGGCTTACACATTTTCTGTTCTGAACTCAACCACACCCTCGGGGGCACAGACACCTGTTGCTTGTGGGAAGGAAGCCAGGGAAAGGGCCATCTCTGCAGGTTTCCTTGAGAGGTAGTGTCACTCACACTCAGAGGGCAGAGAATATTCCAGAACAGGGCATCCAGGCAGCAGGACCCAGGACATACCACCACCTGCACCCGCCCTGAACTTGAGATCCTCGCAGGGACCAAGTGCACTCCAGCGTCCCGGCAGCTCACAGGCTCACTCCCATGTGATCAGTTGTCCCACTATCCCTCCCTCTAAGACCCCGCACTCCAGGCCATGCCCTCTTGGCCTCCTGACCCATTCAGAAACTCCCCACCCCCTCAGCCTGGAACCACGCCCCAGCTTGAGGGCCCTCCATGCTCCTGCCTCCTAGGGACACTGCCCCACGTCCCCTCCCTCAGCCTCTGTCCCATCACTCTCATTACAGGACACTCTGCTCCCAGACCCGGGTCACCCCCTCCCACACTCCTACTGGGGACCACCCTCCCACACACGTCCTGGAGGGCACAGCTGTAGTCAAGGCCCATAGGGGACAGGAGCCACCTCTGCTGCCTCCCACCCCTGACAGGCAGGCCACCACTGACCCAGCACCAATGCCTAATGGCCAGTACTCTTGGGGGACCTGCCTGACCACCCGTGTCCTAAATCAAGGGAGAGATACTTGGAATGTGCCATTCAGGACTCTGTGAGCTGATCATCATCTTAGGAGCATGTACACACACACACACTGACATGAACACACATGTACACTGATATGCTCACAAAACACACATTTATGAGCCCACTCATGGTGGCACCTCTCTGGAGACTCAAGTAGAAGTGGGGTAAAACATGCTTTGGTGGGGACACAGCTTGGGGCATGAGCAAGGAAAGGGCATCCCTGACATAGCCAGGCTGTGCGCTACCCGAGCCAGAGGGCTGTGCCCGAGAGAAAAGGATGCCACACCCACTACTGTGGGCGTCACATGCGTGAGCTCCGCAATACACAGTACAGGACCAGGTGCAGCCCCAGGGCTGGGGCGCCAGAGACCCCTCAGGACATGAAGCTGCAGGACACGGGTGCACTTACTATCCTAGTTTGTGGGGTCCCCCTGTGCCTGTGACGCTCGTGCACATGGGACATGTTTAATCAGGAGTGCCAGGGAACAGCAGGCACTCCCACACTTAGGGCTCAGGGAGGAAATTAGCAAGGACAGTGGCCTCCTCCCCACCTAGAGGGGTCCACCTGGGCCATACAGCTCCAGTTCAGCCCTCCTGGAGGGGCAGGGAGGCAGCTGCCCCCCACCAGGCTCAGCACGGGGTCTACGCACCAGCTGCTCCTGGCACCTTCAGGAAGGCCCAGCCAAGGAGGGAGGCCGCGTCCCAGGGCCCTGCGGAGGCTCTGGATGCTGGTTCAGGACTCCATTCCTGCCCCGCCACACTTCCCATTCCCTCCCAATACGTCCACGGCCTCCTCAGCCCACTGTGTGGTGCATCCAGGTCTGCAGGCCAGTACCAAGTCTGCAAAGGGGTCTCAGCTCCGCGGTGTCACCCACCCCTTTCTCGGGTCATCCCAAGAGACTGAGGAAGGTGCATTGGTCCGTGAAAAGGATGGAAATGGGAGAGACTGTGATTGAAAACCCAGGCATCTGATACCATCCCATCTCAGGACCAAGCATGAATAGAATCCCATTGGTCAGTGGAACAGAATTCAGATTCTCTGGGACACCTTCTGATCCTCTAAACTGCTCGACCATCACCCGTGACTAGGAGGCTAGACTTTGGGCCATCCAGGCAGCTGCAGGGGGCCTGGCAGGTTGAGGGTTGGCGGGCGGGAAGGTTTTTGTTCGAAGCTGTGTCACTGTGATATTTTTGGCAGAGGGACCCGGTTGAACGTCATTGGTGAGTCTCCACTTGTCCTCCTCTTTGGGGTCCAGAGTGCAATTTCGAGTAAACTTTCTCTCTTTCCTGGCCTAACTGGGACTGAGGTGTAAAACCTTCTGGTGCCTGGGACATTCACCTCTCTTTGCTGGTCTTCACAGGCTCCCGGTCGGGGCTTGAGAGGACCACCCCTCTGAGCGCTTCCTGCTCCCCCTCGCTGTTCTTCTGAGCAGTGTCTCTCATCCCTCACTGGGCCTCTGGGATGTGTGGGTCCTGCAGGCTCTCGGGCGCTGGAGTCTTAGGGCAGTGGGGAATCTGGCTGGGGCACCGGGACCATGGGAGGCAGCAGGGAGCCGGGAGCAGCTGCACTTTACCGGGAGTGTCACTTGTGCATTGCGGCGCCTCTGGGTTCTAAGTGGGGGACCAGTCCCGACTCATCAAGGAATCTCATTGTGGAACTTAGGGAGATGGGGGTAGACGCAAGGTGTGGGGGGCAAGGAGGGAGGGAGAGTTTCCCATGGGAAGGTGACCCAGGGTGCTGGGTCCCTGCTCCTCCTCTAGGACATCAGGACACCCAGGAGAGGGCAGGTGTCAGCACATGTAGCCGCCAAGGGTCCATCCTCCACATGCCACCTCTGTGGGACAGACTCCTGAGCAGATGCCCAGGCCAGGTGTCTTCCTGTAGGGCCAGGTGACAGCAAGAAGCCCTGCCAGGCAGACACATGTCTTAGGTCAGACACAGTCCCCAGGCTAACATCGCAGGATAGGGAGACAGCCCCGGCCCAGCCTTGGAAAGGGGCATGGCCTGGTCCAAGACCCTGCATCCACTGGCCTCCCTGGGATCCAGTCAAGGAATGGTGGCCTTTGAGGCCCCACAAACCTGCAGAGCACCCGAGGGGGCCAGCTCCCTAGGGTCTGCCATGAGAGTCTCCCAGCAAAGGTATGTCAACCCGCTCAGGGCTGCCTGAACTTAGGACAGCAGAGAACACCCGGGGTCCCACCGAGGAAAACGGGAAGCACAGCCCCATATCAGCAGTGAGTTCAGGACCTCCCACCATGGCCAGCAGCCCTCTGACCTCCTGCCGCTGCCCCGCCTCGCAGGTCATCCCAAGGCCGCGCCCTCGGTCACCCTCTTCCCGCCCTCCTCCGAGGAGCTCAGCGCCAACAAGGCCACAGTGGTGTGCCTCATCAGTGACTTCTACCCCGGCGCCGTGACGGTGGCCTGGAAGGCAGACGGCGCCCCCGTCACCCAGGGCGTGGAGACCACCAAGCCCTCCAAACAGAGGAACAACAAGTACGTGGCCAGCAGCTACCTGAGGCTCTCCCCCAACGCGTGGAAGTCTCACAGCAGCGTCAGCTGCCAGGTCACGCACGAAGGGAGCACCGTGGAGAGGACGCTGGCCCCCAGGGAGTGCTCTTAGGCCCCGAGCCCCCGCCCCTGGGCGCCTGGACACACAGGCCTCCGGGGAGGGTCTCCCTCCCCCCGCTCCCCCCCCACCCGGCCCTCTCCCTGCTCCTCATCAACTCGCAATAAAGGGCCCTCCTTGCCAATCAGGAATCATGCTCTCTGCTCATTGTTGGCTTACACATTTTCTGTCCTGAACTGAACCACACCCTCGGGGACACAGACACCTGTTGCTTGTGGGAAGGAAGCCATGAAAAGGACCATCTCCTGAGGCTGCCTTTACAAGGAGTGTCACTCACACCCAGAGGGCAGAGAATATTCCAGAAAAGGGCATGCAGGCAGCAGCACCCAGGACATACGTCCGCCTGCACCTGCCCTGAATTTGTGATTCCCAGAGGCACCAAGTCTATCCCAGCATTCCGGCAGCTCAAAGCTCACTCCCATGTGATAGGTTGCCCCACTATCCCTCCATCAACGCCCCGCACTCCGGGCCATGCCCTCTTGGTCTCCTGACCCATCCGGAAATTCCCCACGTCTCAGCCTGGCACAGGGCCCCATGCTGAGGGCCCTCCATGCTACTGCCTCCTGGGGACGCTGCCCCACGGCCCCTCCCTCAGCCCCAGTCCCATCACTCTCACTATAGGACACTGCACTCCCAGAGCCGGGTCACCCACTCCCACACTCCTCCTGGGGACCACCCTCCCACACACGTCCTGGAGGGCACAGCTGTAGTCAAGGCCCATAGAGGACAGGAACCACCTTTGCTGCCTCCCACCCCTGACAGGCAGCCCACCACTGACCCAGCACAAATGCCGAATGGCCACTACTCTTGGGGGACCTGCCTGACCACCCGTGTCCTAAATCAAGGGAGAGATACTGGGAATGCACCATTCAGGACTCTGTGGGCTGATCATCATCTTAGGAGCACGCATGCACACACACACACATGGACATGGACATACACTCACACTCATAAGCTCACAAAACATACATTTACGAGCACGGCCACAGTGGGACCTCTCTGGAGGGTCAAGTGGAGGTGGGGTACAAGGTGGTACAGTGGGGACCCAGCTTGGGACATGAGCAGGGAGAGGGCATCCCTGAAATCCCCAGACTGTGCGCTGCCCGAGCCACGGGGCTGTGCCCGATAGAGAAGGATACCACACCCACTCCGGTGGGCGTCACATGCGTGAGCTCTGCACGTAATAGTCCAGGACCAGGAGCACACGAGGGCATCCTCATGACATGAAGCTGTAGACAGGATAGGTGTGCACTTACTATCCCAGCTTGTGGAATCCCCCTGTGCCTGTGACGCTCATGCACATGGGACACGTGTAATCAGGAGTGCCAGGGGACAGCAGGCACTCCCACGCTTAGGGCTCAGGGAAGAAATTAGTAAGGACAGTGGCCTCCTCCCCACCTAGAGGGATCCACCTGGGCCATACAGCTCTAGTTCAGCCCTCCTGGAGGGGCAGGGAGGCAGCTGCCCCCCACCAGGCTCAGCACGGGGTCTACGCACCAGCTGCTCCTGGCACCTTCAGGAAGGCCCAGCCAAGGAGGGAGGCCGCGTCCCAGGGCCCTGCAGAGGCTCTGGATGCTGGTTCAGGACTCCATTCCTGCCCCGCCACACTTCCCATTCCCTCCCAAAACGTCCATGGCCTCCTCAGCCCACTGAGTGGTGCATCCAGGTCTGCAGGCCAGTACCAAGTCTGCAAAGGGGTCTCAACTCCCCTGTGTCACCCACCCCTTTCTCGGGACATCCCAAGAGACTGAGGAAGGTGCATTGGTCCGTGATAAGGATGGAAATGGGTGAGATTGTGATTGGAAACCCAGGCATTTGATACCACCCACCTCATGACCAAGCATGAATAGAATCCCATCTGTCAATGGAACAGGATTCAGATGCTCGGGGACACCCTCGGATCCTCTAAACTGCTCGACCATCACCCGTGACTAGGAGGCTGGACTTTGGGCCTCCCAGGCAGCTGCAGGGGGCCTGGCAGGTTGAGGGTTGGTGGGAGGGAGGTGTGAGAGGAGGGTTTTTGTTCAAGGCCGTGTCACTGTGTACATTTTTGGAGGTGGGACCCGGTTGACTGTCCTTGGTGAGTCTCCCCTTTGCCATCCTCTGTAGCATACAGATTTCAATTTTGGATGATTTTTCTCCTCTTTCTGTCCTTATGTCGCCTGGGATCTGAACCCTTCTGAGGCATGGAAACTTAACACACACACCCCGGTTACTCATCAACCACGTCACCCTGCTCAATTTTAGCAGGCTCCTGGTTGGGGCTTCGGAGGACCACCCCTCCGAGCGCTTCCTGCTCCCCCCCCCACCGCTGTTCTTCTGAGCAGTCTCTCTCATCCCTCACTGGGACTCTGGGATGTGTGGGACCTGCAGGCACTCGGGGGCTGGAGTCTTGGGAAAGGGGGCTCCAGCTGGGGCACCGGGGCCATGGGAAGCGGGCAGGGAGCCGGAAGCAGCTGCACTGTACGAGGTGTGTCACTGTTCATTGGGGCACCTCTGAGTTCTAGGTGGGGACCAGTCACGGCTAATCAAGGAATCCCATTGTGGAACTTAGGGAGATGGGGGTAGACGCAAGGTGTGGGGGACAAGGAGGGAGGGAGAGTTTCCCATGGGAAGGTGACCCAGGGTGCTGGGTCCCTGCTCCTCCCCTAGGACAGCCAGACACCCAGGACATCAGGACACCCAGAAAAGGGCAGGTGTCAGAACACATAGCCCCAAAGGGTCCATCTTCCACATCCCAACTCTGTGGGACAGACCCCTGAGCAGATGCCCAGGCCAGGAGTCTTACTGTAGGGCCAGGTGACAGCAAGAGGCCCTGCGAGGCAGACACATGTCCAAGGTCAGACACAGTTTCCAGGCTAACATCCCAGGATAGGGGGACAGCCTGCAAACAGCCCTGGCCCAGCCTCGGGAACGAGTACGGCCTGCTCCGGACCCCTCCTTCCACTGGCCTCCCTGGGATCCAGTCCCAGTCCTGACACCCACTCCCCAGCCCGGCAGCACTAAGGGTCTCTGTTGGAAGGTGTGCAGGGGATGCAAGGATGCCCTCATGGGGCTGAGGGCAGGAAATCTACCCCCACAAGCTAGGAGAGCCTGAGACCAGGACACACCCATCACCTGGGCAAACGCTGGGCACAGGCGCTGGGTGCAGATGGAGGGGAGAGAGATGCCCCAAGACAGACGGACTCACACAGACGTGAGGTCCCAGGGCCCATGCCCGCCAGCACCAGGGAGACAGTCAAGGAATGGTGGCCTATGCGGTCCCACAAACCTGCAGAGCACCCGAGGGGGCCAGCTCCCTAGGGTCTGCCATGAGAGTCTCCCAGCAAAGGTATGTCAACCCGCTCAGGGCTGCCTGAACTTAGGACAGCAGAGAACACCCGGGGTCCCACCGAGGAAAATGGGAAGCACAGCCCCATATCAGCAGTGAGTTCAGGACCTCCCACCACGGCCAGCAGCCCTCTGACCTCCTGCCGCTGCCCCGCCTCGCAGGTCACCCCAAGGCCGCGCCCTCGGTCACCCTCTTCCCGCCCTCCTCCGAGGAGCTCAGCGCCAACAAGGCCACAGTGGTGTGTCTCATCAGTGACTTCTACCCCGGCGCCGTGACGGTGGCCTGGAAGGCAGACGGCGCCCCCGTCACCCAGGGCGTGGAGACCACCAAGCCCTCCAAACAGAGGAACAACAAGTACGTGGCCAGCAGCTACCTGAGGCTCTCCCCCAACGCGTGGAAGTCTCACAGCAGCGTCAGCTGCCAGGTCACGCACGAAGGGAGCACCGTGGAGAGGACGCTGGCCCCCAGGGAGTGCTCTTAGGCCCCGAGCCCCCGCCCCTGGGCGCCTGGACACACAGGCCTCCGGGGAGGGTCCCCCTCCCCCCTCGCTCCCACCCCCCGGCCCTCTCCCTGCTCCTCATCAACTCGCAATAAAGGGTCCTCCCTGCCCATCAGGAATCATGCTATCTGCTCATTGTTGGCTTACACATTTTCTGTCCTGAACTCAACCACACCCTCGGGGGCACAGATACCAGTTGCTTGTGGGAAGGAAGCCAGGGAAAGGACCGTCTCCTCAGGTTTCCTTGAGAGGGAGTGTCACTCACACCCAGAAGGGCAGAGAATATTCCAGAACAGGGCATGCAGGCAGCAGGACCCAGGACATACCTCTGCCTGCACCCGCGCTGAACTTGTGATTCCCACAGGGACCAAGTCCACCCCACTGTCCCGGCAGCTCACAGGCTCACTCCCATGTGATCAGCTGCCTCACTATCCCTCCGTCAAAGCCCCGCACTCCAGGCCATGCCCTCTTGGCCTCCTGACCCATTTGGAAATTCCCCATCCCCTCAGCCTGGCACAGCACCACATCCAAGGGCCCTCCATGCTCCTGCCTCCCTAGGGACACTGCCATGCGCCCCCTCCCTCAGCCCCAGTCCCATCACTCTCACTACAGGACACTCCGCTCCCAGACCCGGGTCACCCCCTCCACACTCCTACTGGGGACCACCCTCCCACACACGTCCTGGAGGGCATAGCTGTAGTCAAGGCCCATAGGGGACAGGAGTCACCTCTGCTGCCTCCTACCGCTGACAGGCAGGCCACCACTGACCCAGCACAAATGCCTAATGACCATTATTTCTGGGTGACTTCGTGACCACCCATGTCTTAAATCAAAGGAGAGATACTGGGACTGTGCCATTCATGACTCTGTGAGCTGATCATCATCTTAGGAGCACGCATGCACACACATGGACACGGCCATGAACATGTACTCACACCAATATGATCACAAAACACACATTTATAAGCACGGCCACAGGAGCACCTCTCTGGAGGCTGAAGTGGAGCTGCGGTAGAAGGTGCTCCGGTTGGGACCCTGCTTGGGACATGAGCAGGGAGAGGGCATCCCTGACGTCCCCAGGCTGCGCACTGCCCGAGCCACAGTGCTGTGCCTGAGAGAGGATGCCACACCCACTCCTGTGGGCGTCACATGGGTGAGTTCTGCAGGTGACAGTCCAGGACCAGGTGCAGCCCCAGGGCTGGGGCGCCAGAGACCCCTCATGACATGAAGGTGCAGGGCAGGGGTGCACTTACTATCCTAGTTTGTGGGGTCCCCCTGTGCCTGTGACACTCGTGCACATGGGACACGTGTAATCAGGAGCGTCAGGGGACAGCAGGCACTCCCACACTTAGGGCTCACGGAAGAAATTAGCAAGGACAGTGGCCTCCTCCCCACCTAGAGGGGTCCACCTGGGCCATATAGCTCTAGTTCAGCCCTCCTGGAGGGGCAGAGAGGCAGCTGCCCCCTACCAGGCTCAGCACGGGGTCTACGCACCAGCTGCTCCTGGCACCTTCAGGAAGGCCCAGCCAAGGAGGGAAGCCGCGTCCCAGGGCCCTGCGGAGGCTCTGGATGCTGGTTCAGGACTCCATTCCTGCCCCGCCACACTTCCCATTCCCTCCCAAAACGTCCACGGCCTCCTCAGC